ATCACTGCTGCTCTCATTATTATCATCTATTGACGAGAAAGCCCAAAGAGGCATATCAAGCCTTTTGTCACGGGAAGAATGGTAAAGCTCATCCTTTCTGTGCCAACGGGGATCCTTGGACTCAGATTTTGACATCTGACAAAGAGGATAGCCTTCATTGATAACAAGTTTCCGTCTGTAGGATCTATCTTGACCTACCTCATCATTTCTCTTCCAGTCACCACCTTTGCAAGACCACCTGCCAGCAAACCAATCGCTAGAACCACCGGTAGGAACAGTATGATCCTTCTCAGAAAATGCAACTGGCCTGATTTCACTGCTTCCTTTTGATAAGCCTTCAAAATCTCTTCCAACACGCTCATCTTTCGGATGTATGAATGGTGTCTGAGATTTGAACCTTGAGAAACCTGAAAGCCACATGTGTATTGAGAATATCAGAATGGAAAGCAGATGCATGTTTTTCATAATCTAGCAACTTTTTTTTATCAATTTTTCACAAAAGAACAAAGTAATAAGAAAACATGCGACAACAGCCAACACATATTTTTGTAGGTTCTAGCCATGAGGGATAACCTTAAAATGATTTTACATTCAGTCTTCTTCCAAAATCTGCTTTCCTGAATCTAAACATTTCTGCAGTCTATGTACTGATTTTAATTTTTGCAAACCATTGCAGATGTCAGAATAGAGGATCTAAACTAGCCAATGAAGAAATAGTAAATAAGAGGAAGAGAAGAGGCTGACTAGTTGCAAGCTATTTTTCCCATAATTCACACTTTGATTTTCTAATGTGGAAAAATGAAGAATCTCGATCAGAATTAGGAAAAAAAGAAAGAAGCTGGAAACAAGTCAAGAAAGAAAACTGGAAATCAGAAAGGAAATATACGAGGCTGAATGATCACTAGCTATTTTTCCAAATTCCTATTCCATCATTCTCCATGCATGCCAAATTGAAGCATATCCACTAAAGTAAAATATGACTTTTTGTACATAATTAAATAAAAATGTGGCATTTCCACAAGTACAGGACACGATCATAAAATAGATGAAATATTAAGGGCAAACAGCTTAAGGTGAAACCCTAGAGAAAAAGAGAGAGAGAGAGGCTCATGTGCAAATTTTCTTTTCGAAAGAATGAGAGGGAGGAATACATTGTACCTTCCAATTGACCCCATTTTTCCCAATCTGCATGTTCAAATGTTGCATTCAGTGCTTCTGCAAAGGTGTACATTTCCACCAAAAGAAAATTAATTAAAACAGTTATTGGCATAAAACCTTTGGAGCATGTCACTATGCAAATAGACCAGATACTGGCCAAGCTTGACACCAATATGGTACTGGTTATTCTTATGCCTCGCTGAAGATGTAGGATCTGAACGCAAATCTTTCCCCAGAACAGCCCTATTGATGCATCTAATAAATAAAGTTTTAGAAAATAGCAGTGTTAATAAAATTACCTCCAATTATCTCAAGCTCCTTTCCGTCTATTATGGTGTAACCATCCAACAAAGTCTCAACTCTCTCATCAATATGATAATTTTCAAGATATTCTGGTAGAACTGGAGAGCAATCTGTATGCAGCTCCTGCTGCAGCAATGTAGAACTAGATGTTTCTGGACAAAGAATTCCAGCATCAACTAACAAATTCCCTGGGGCTTCTGGAGGGCTTACCATCTGTGTGACAACATCTGAAACAACAGAGGACAAGTTCAAAGGCACCAAAGGGGAAGCAGCATTTTCAACAGTTACCCACCTGTCACTGTCAGCATGTTTTATCAAATGATCAGAATGAAGGACCCCTTCATCCACCAGATGTTTGAGATCAACTAGTTTTGAGGGTCCTTGTTCCATACCAAAGTGATCAAGATAAAACCACTTTCCAGCATCAATATTGGATGATACAGGATCACGGGGTGGTGTGTCAGATATATCCATATCCTCCTCCATTGAGGATGGATCTTCAAGAACCCCTGCAGGGGGAGGAGGTGGTGGAAGTGCAGGTGGAGGAGGCAGTGGTGGTGGAGGAGGAAGGGGAGTCTCGCTAGACTGCCTATTTGAATTCTGCAACAGTTTTTCCTTATTATCAGCGGCACATCTGTCAGAGCTGCTCTTATTTGACTTATTCTTAAGAATATCTTTATCACTGTACTCCTTTCGTCCCAATCTATCATCATGTCTGCTGGACTGCTGCTTTTCACTGCTTCGATTTTTCTTGCTTGACTCACGGTGTTCTGCAGCATGACGGATATCATGTGGTGACCTCTCTGAATATGCCAGAGTCCGGTCATGGTAATCATGGTGACGAGCTCGTTGTCGTGGAGACCTATTAGAATGGCTTGGAGTGTGATCCCTGTGATCTGAGTGGCGACTCTTCTCATGTGGGGATCGGTCCAGGCGACGAAGACTTCGCTCCTTGTGATCACGGTGGTGGGCCCGCTCCTTTAGTGATCGTTCAGAACAATCTGGGCTCTTTTCATGTGGAGACCGGTCCAAGTGACGAGGACTACGTTCCCTGTGATCCCGGTGGTGGGTGCGCTCCTTTGGTGACCGTTCAGAACATCCTGGGCTGCGGCCATGGGAACCTCGGGAAGCCAAGGATGAGTCATTGAACCTAGAAGATGAGTGCTTGTTGATGGATGAAACCTTCGAGACTGAAGTGGTCTCATTTCTTCGTGAATTAGTGGAACAATTAATCTCTTCAGGCTTCCAATGTGTCTTTGAACCTGATTGATCAGATGAATCAAAATGGTGCTTGTGGTTACTGATCTCAGACTCTACAGCTTGCCATTTGGGCCACTTTCCCATATTTCCCCCCATATCACGGCTCTTTCCATTGCTAACATCGTGCTTAACCTCACCAGGTTCAACTTCAGAAGGTCGTGAGAATTTCTTAGCATCCCTCTCATGCATGCTGCCATCAGATCTTGATGAAGATGACCTCTTCCTGAAGTCAGTATCACTTGGGCGTCCATCTTTTCTCCGGTGACTGTCCTCCGGGGTGCGCTCTAGATCACTTTTCCTTGATCTCTCTGGAACAAATTCACCCTTCTCCAAATCCACCTTCCTTCCTCTGGATGACTGATAGAGAGACTTTTCCAATTCTCTAGATGAGTTCCATTTACCAGCCACAAAATCCCTCCTTTCCAGCTCCCCTTTATTCCGCCTATCTGAAATGACTTCTCCCTTTTCCAACTCATCTCTCCTCCGTCTTTCTCCCACCTCAAGTTCACTTTTCCTCCATTTCTTAGGAACGAACTCCCCCTTCTCAATTTCTCCATTCTGAAGCTCCCCTTTCTCCAATTCCCCTTTTTGCAACTCTCCTTCCTCCATCTCCTCTTTCCTATGCCTCTCCAGCCCAAGTTTCCCAATCTCCAACTCTCCCTCCTTCACCCTCCTATCCAATTTCAGACCCTTTACAACACCAGACTCGCCTTTCCTCTCGACCTCCTCCCCCATCTCGCCATTCCTCGCCTTCTTCTCTGCCATAAAGGGGCTCGAAGTAAGCACGCCTTTGCCGCCACAGAGTGACTCCGGAATCGGGAACCTCTCCATGATATGCTGCGAGGGTGCGCACGCGACCCCTCCCTCTTCCATGGAACTCCACCCGGAACCCTAGGGCGGGTCCAGAGCCTGACCCGTGCCGCCAAAACCCTAACTTTCGACTGCTTCGGGGCTGTCGATGCTCTTCTTCGCATCCGCAGCGCCTCCGACCGCCGGCTCCAACCGAAACCCTAACAAACGGCAAGATTAAATCTTTTCATCACCCAGACGAATCAAGAACCAAGAATGAACGCAATGCAAGAATTCCGGCAAGAAAGCACGGGAATCCAAAATTCCGCGCCGGAAACCCTAGAATTCTAGCGGAGAAAAGGAGAAAGCGAAGAAGGGTGGAGGGTGGGGAGGGGAAGCTCACCGTGCAGGAGATCGACGAATTGGAGCCGTCGATCCGGAGATCTACGGCGGGGTTGCTGCAGCGAAGAGTCGAACGGAAGCCTCCTCGCTCGGTATCTCCTTCTCCGGTGCTCCTTTCGCGCTCTCTCGCCCCGCCCGACGACCTCGCTGTTATATTCCCTCGGCCGCGCTCGCTCCCTCGCTTCCTCGCTCGCGACGGGGGAGAAGACAGAGTAATATATTGTACAAATAATCTCGCATCTTTTCGTGCTCGCGGTCATTTTAATGGCCATACAAGCCTGTTACGGGGTATGCGGTAAGCATACCTCCCGGTGACGCCCGACAAGTCAGCGGTCAAGGGGTTTTGGAAACACGAGAACCGACCCACAAACGAAGCCCAGAAACGAGAGGACGAGATCACCCAGTGAGACCGGGGCCCACGACACATACTAACAGGTTCACTCTCGGGTTACGTCTGTTGGTTCGGCAAATCTATTCAAGCGGTCGAGGGGTTCAAAGGACAAACGCCGACCCGCGAAGCGAACCCGGACACGAGAGGACAGGTTTCACCGGATGCCAGCGGGGCCCACACTGTTCTCAGATGAGTTCGTCTGTGGGTGCTTTTATTGTGGGGTACGTTTCCTTGTCTCCGTGAGCCTGTTCTTGTTCACAGTGAGAGACTGAATAGATTCCAACATTGAGTGAGTCGCCCATAAATGTCATGAGGTCTCTCTTCCTTTGCTATCTCACTTTGTAGTCTATTTTGCATGAGAACTTCGCTGGCACTGTAGAAAATATTTCGATTCTGCAGACTACAATGATGATATCTTCTGAGGAAATGATTGTCTCGAGAAATATATTTGTCTGGAAAAATAATAATAATATTTAAGATCACGAAAAGAAAATGGATGAGTAACGAACGAATAGATAATTGTCTTTTCATGGAAGCCTAAATATTAAGATTATATAATAATAAAAACAAATAATATTTTATCAACATACTTCGTAATCTTTAAGTTTTCACAATATTTTTATTCTTTACTGATTGTATATACGTTCTCCCAATCATACAGGGGAAAAGAAGAAACGTGTCCTTCGGATTGGGCCCAATATATAAGGCTGTCTCCTTCCCCGCCTCCCAATCCATCGCCTCCTCTTTCTCGATCGAGGTCCGCTTGATTTCGTACTTGGTTGCTGCGGCAGTTCATCTTCTTCCGCATCTTTCGCGGCTGCTTTGGTAGATCTAATAATAATTTCCTTCTTTCACCGTTCCTTGTTGAAATCTGTTGACTAGTTTTTAGGGTATTGTTTTCTCTCATCTGGGTTTTCCTTTCTTCCATCTTCGAACGAGTACGAATTCAAGTGCTACTAAGCCTCGGGGACCCTTCTGAACATCTTTTGATTCGGGGCGCGCTATAGAGATCTGATCTTTCGTGAAACATCCGTGTTTCTGGTTATGGAAACTGGATTTGGGGGTTTGTGAGCTTTTTTTTCTCAGATTTCCTGGAATAGATTGATCTGTACTTTTTATGTTGTTGTTGGTTGGTTCTATCACGGCAATCGGAAAGCAAGATGTTCTATTTGGGGTGCTATTGTCAACCGTATTGTAGAGGAATAGTAAGTGGGAACCTGTAATAGAAGTCGGTGTCTTTTTGATGCAGGTACACCGGATACATCAGTTTCTACAAACTAAAATGTGAGTGCCACATTGCGCCGATTAATTTCAGTTGATGATCTTTATCTTGTTCCTTTTTTTTTTTGGATTGTATGACTCAATTTATTTGTCACCCGTAGGTTTTCTATCCGTGTTTATGCCATTTTATGTGATTAACAGAAGTTACAGTCAACATACCATGTTAAAAAGCGAAAAAATGCAATGTTGTTCTCTAATCCAATATGCATCTAGGGCTATATGCTATCTCCTAGTGCTGGCAATTTGTTCTTCCACTTAATAACTAATTGTTTTATTACAGTTATTTTCCACCAAGAAGACCTTTTTTTTTCTTTGTGGAGCATCGGATGTTACAATTACTTTTTTGCTTCAATTTTAGGGCGGATGAGGAACCAGTTGATCCAAAGCAGTATCTTGAGGATACTTGCAAACCAAAGTGTGTACGGCCTTTACGTGCATATCAGGTATTTAAGATTGCATTATCATGTCTCATTTCCCTGAAGCTTCATAGCTTGTCATCTTTTACGCACAACTAGTGAGACTGAACCAGGTAGAGAGTTTGGAATATACTTTTTGTGTAATTGAGGTTCTGATGAACTCTTTATGAACTCCAGATTTTTTGTGTTATTTTGATCAAGTGCTTCTAGTAAATCTGATAAAAGTTTATTTTCTATATCCCCTTATTTCTGTATTTGTTTATTATGGTTCCTATTTCGATAATTTTGGAACTGTGATTGCAATTCCTTTTGTGAGATCTACTTTAAATATAAATTCTGACCTATACCTATTGTTTGATATGCTTAAAGATCTTTCCTCGAGCCTTTAGTGTAATTTGAACGTATTTTAACTTTAAATTTTAATAACTAGCAAATGATATCTTTATTTACTTCTTATTCTTTGTTGTCATGGGATCTATCAGATACACTTCACTTTGCAAAAATGTCATAGTACTTCACCAAGATACCAACAAGTCCACTAATTTTTTTTGAACAGTCTGTTCTCTGTATTTCCCCTTTTTGTGTTTAATTAGTCCTACTACATTAACATTACTAAATGTTATTGATGTTGGTTCAAATAACCTCAGCTATGTCATTTTCCATTTTAGCATTCTGTTTTAGTTAGTTTACCAGAGATAAATCCGAAGCAACAATTGCTCAAAGCTATCCTTATATGCTGGAGGCTCTGTTTTCTTGCAATTGACGCTTGGTTTGTTTTCTTGCAATTGACGTTTGGTGGTTCTTGGTGGCTCTTTGTTTAAAAAGTTGGGTTTCAGTCTCTGATTCGAATAGGAGCACGTCGTGCTAATGTGCCTCGCATGATCTAGGTTAATGGCTTAGGCGCTGATGACCACATTTAACTGTCCATGTGGCTGAGTGCCCTCACATCTCATGCACAATGATGCAATTATCAAGGGCACGCTCTGAACACATTGGACTGTTCAGGTGACTGAAAGCCCGTGGGTCCTAGGCACAATGACGGTTCTTTTTCCATGGTCATTTTATAAATATAGTCTTGGTTTTGGATCTTGTTTTTCTAAGACTGACCACTTCCTGGTTGGTATTTCTCTTCTACATGTTGGTTTCCATGAATGAGAAAATATAGGTTAGTAGGTTTTTGATAAGTACATTTAAGTATTAACAGTTAAAATACAGAACATGTTACTGTTACTCTGACTTGGTTCTTAAAGTTATTTTCACAAAAGTATCATATGCCCTGATTGATTATTTTTCTGTTCTTTACCTTTGTCTTTAAGAAATTATTTGACGATCTGCAACATGCATGCTAAAACTCATGCAGGCATGCGTTAAGAGAATCAAAGGAGATGAAACTGGGCATAAGCATTGTACTGGACAATACTTTGATTACTGGAAGTGTATCGATGAGTGTGTAAGTACACTTCTCTTTTGTGCATCCATTTCTTCCAGGAAGGAGTAAGAGATGAGCATCAACTGAAACTTATTTTCGACCGCAGGTTGCACTTAAGCTTTTCGACAAACTGAAGTGATCGGAAAAGAATCTACATTTCAATAACTTTCATTGAATGTAAAGATTAATCTTTCTGGAAATTTTTCAAAAGAAAGTAATAAGAACAATTGCCTGGTAGTAACTGCTATAATGTTCTTGTGATCAGCCATTTTGTGCACTAAGATCTGTTTGACAATACTACTTCATAGAACAAAAAATTGTTCTTCAGTAAATTTTCCTCATCAGGTTTTTCTGATCCTTCACATCAACTCTGGCATTCATTTGGTTCCCACTATGTGCTAAATTTACTTCAGTGAGTTTTTGGTCCTTATGGCTGATTTATTTTCTTTGAAAACTTTGAACTTTTAACTTTTGAAGCTTGTTATGGGAACTTCTGCACAAGGAATGGAGTCATATTTTCTACAAATGGCAAATGATGAAGACTAATATTTTATATCAGCAACATTTGATCACACAATAATTTTTTTTTACTAAAAATATGGGTATTCAATCTTGGAAGCTTATTATGAATTTATTTAAACTAAAATAGTCAGCATCTTCAAAAGATTTATATCTACGAATGACAAATGATGAAGACGAGAAATGATGAAGATGAGATTTTATATCAGGACCATTTGATCAAACAATAACTTTTTTTTACTAAAAATATGGCTATTCAATCTTGGAAGCTTTCTATGAATTTACTTAAACTAAATTAGTTGGCATCTTCAAAAGATTTATATTTAGATGCCTGTCATGCTCTTTGCATAATGTGAATGATGTAAGATTTTGCCAGATTTAATTGTAAACCCATTTCATCCATTGCCTATAATATGAAAGTATTGTCATATCCTATATTTATAAAATATAATAAATTGTCATTTTATTATTCATAATTTATAAAATATATTTTTCCATATTTAAATTTTTATTTTTATAATAATAAATATTCTATTAACTAGAAAATAACCACATCTTTTTACTAGAATTATAAGTTTCTTGCTTTAGATCTATTATAAAGTTATAGATTATTCTAAAAATAAATATAAAATAAAAATATATCAGCAATCACATATATTTGTAGGAACCTCAAAAAAATCATAAAAATAATCTTCAATGTTCATGAAACAAATATCAATAATTTAATAAAAAATAATATATTGATTCATCATAAAATTTATGCATAAAAATATGATGATAATTTTTTACTTAATAAATAAAGTTATACATCAACCAGAAAGGCATATATCATACCCATCACACCCGATGATGCATTTTTCCAACAACGAATGAAGAGATATACTCCACGGGATGAATTCTCCCAACAGCGAATAGAGATAATTTATATCGTACTCCCAACAATTGATGGAGTGATATCCCTCACCCGCCCAAGTGGCCTCCCAACAATAGATGGAGGAACCATCTAGTCGTTACATCTGATAGCCTGCTAATCCTCGAAGGAAATCATCATACCTACCCTCGATAAGGATATATAAACATTCATGATATATAAATATTAAAAGAGACCATGTTTGATGTATGATTTGTTATACTATGTCCATTGGTGGCTTTGCACTATGATGAGCCTACGACTCCCTTCACATATTCTTTCAATGTAGATCACTAGTCTAGTCACATGTACTATATGGTAACAATCATATCAATATTATAAACTTTAAAAAAATTATTTTAAAATAATATCTTCGTATAAAGTTTTTAAATTCATCAAATCATAAAGGTATGAACTATTAATCTTTTAATAGTTCTCGATTAACTAAAATCCTAATTGGAATAGTTCAATTGATTTAAACTAAACTCAATTCGATTATGACCTAACAAAACTAACCTCAAATCATTATAAAACCTATATGGAATCACCCTAAACGGGTCTAATTTGGATTTGATGAATCTCAAGTAGGTCGAGTAGGTTTGAACTAGTCAAGGTGGTTTGGAATTACCCTAAACTGGTTTTAACCGATCAAACATGTTTGATTTAGTCAATTAACGAGCTTAAACAAAGGAAGAGGAAATTGGACTATATTG